GGCTTTTAGTTTTGGTTTTGGCTTTGGTTTTTAGTGGGAACTGATTTGCTTGTATTGATTTGGCTCCTACTTTTATTGACGGCACATCACTTTCTTCACTTCTGGTGCAGAGGTAGTATACAAATGCTTGAAATAAATACCTGTATTTCCAGCTGGGTTGTCTTTACTCACACCCTTTCCTTAGCTGCTGTTGAAGATATGGTGCCTTAATGTACTTACCAACAGATGATATTTGACAGAGTCGTGGCTAAGCCAAAAAGGGATAAGTATCCAAAAGAAAACAAATGTCCCAGCACGGTATGTTTTGAACACCTAGAAATAAACTGCTCTTAAAGGTAAAGGTTCCCTTGCTCGAAAGCCAGTCGAATCCGACTCTAGGGTTGCGGTGCTCATCTCCGTTTCAAAGCCGAAGAGCCAGCGCTGTCCGAAGACGTTTCCGTGGTCATGTGGCCGGCATGACTAAACACCAAGGCGCACGGAACACTGTTACCTTCCCACCGAATCACCGAAGTGGTACCTATTTATCTACTTGCAATTTCTTGCTTTCGAACTGCTAGGTTGGCAGGAGCTGGAACTAGAGATGGGAGCTCACTCCATCATGCGGCACCCGGGTCTCGAACTGCTGAACTACTGACCTTCCGCAGCCTGCAGTTCAGCGTCTTAACCACTTGAGCCACCGCAGCTCTGAAATTGCTCTTATTAGTTGTCTAAACTTTCAATAGACACAACACAAGCTATTCTCGTGGACATCAGCGGGATGCTTGTTAACGAAAATGCTTTTACATAGTATTTTTCAGGCTCTCACTTGATGCGTATTCAGCATCAGGACCACGTTGTCCCAAATGGTCTCCACAAACAGCTGGCATCTTTCAAAAAGAAGAAGGGGGCATTGGGGAGGGCTATTTGGTTTTAGCCTGTAATGTTTTAATAGTTACTTGTGAGTCATCTTGAAGACTCCTTGGGAGGAAAGTGATGGCGAACCTAAACAGCATGATAAAAAGTAGAGACATCACCCTGCCAACAAAAATACGCATGGTCCAAGCAATGGTATTCCCAGTAGTCATGTATGGCTGTGAGAGTTGGACTATAAGGAAGGCCGAGCGCCGAAGAATAGATTCTTTTGAACTATGGTGCTGGAGGAGACTCTTGAGAGTCCCTTGGACTGCAAGGAGATCAAATCAGTCAATCCTAAAAGAAATCAACCCTGACTGTTCTCTGGAAGGCCAGATAATGAAACTGAAGCTAAAATACTTTGGCCACTCAATGAGAAGGGAGCACTCACTGGAGAAGACCCTGATGCTGGGAAAGACTGAAGGTCAAAGAAGACGGGGACGGCAAAGGATGAGATGGTTAGACAGTGTCATAGATGCAACGAACATGACATTGAGCAAACTTCAGAGGACGGCGGAAGACAGGAAGGCCTGGCGTGATCTGGTCCATGGGTAGCAGAGTCGGACTCGACTGTGTGACTGAACAACAACAAAAGCGCCCCCCCCCAAATGTCCATAGACCAAACAAATTCTGTCCCGTGCTGCCACCTTATGCTGGGCTTATGCCACCTTCCCAGGAACAATGCAAATCACCCATTCCTTCCCTAGAGCTGCTTCCGAGAGTTGAGTCAGAGAACCCTTGAGAAAACATGCTAGCAAATTTTAACTACTTTAAAAAAGTGTGTTTTCGCCTCAATTTTACAAAGTTCTGACTCTATACATTTAGTTCCTTGACACCAGTTTTAACAAAACAACCTCTTGTGAACAGACAGAAAAAAATGCTTACCTTTTCTCGGAGTTCCTGGAGAGTACACCTGCTAAACAAAAGCAAACTCATAACCACTAGCCAACCTTGGACGAGCACCCAACTGTTGAGGGATTCTGGGGGACAGGTCCTTTTCCTGGGGGGATCCCCCCCCCAGTTCCCCTGAGTTATTTCATTGGTTGAGTGGAGACTGGCAAGGGACTGAATGTAGTATAGAGAGACGACGATTCTTAAACAAAGCTCCATTTATTCCATTATACACTCCTAAGACAATTTTTTGTAGTATTTCAATATTCAACAGAAACCCAATACTTAAAACAGTGAACTTGTACAAAACTCAGAACGTTCTGAACTTCCCATCTTCCTTACCCATGACAGCTCCTTCTCTGTCACCCGATCACATGTCCCTCCTTTGTTGTTTTCTTTCCACAGCCAGTGGCCATAATCACACTGTATTTACTAATCACACTGTATTTATATAGATCTGTGGGAGTCTGAATAAAAGTGGGAACCATGACTGACAGTCGCTGTCCTAGGAAGGAGAAAAGAATTGGATCCTTGACCCACGTACCCGGAGGATCAAGTCCAGGTCCTTCCTCTATGTTCCTGATCTCTGTCCGTTTCTCAAGCGAGCAATGTGGATAGACTTCCCCTTACTGAAATATCGGGTGCTCTCTAATCCATATAGAAGTGTCATGGCTCTAACTACCTGTGATAAGATTCATTCCGCAAAATTTGGATCCATATAGCAAAACATTTCTGCTTTTTTTTAAAAAGTGTGAGAAATAAAACATGAAAGATCTGATTGCGGCAGCACTAGTGGGCGTCTCTACTTCCTTGACTGTGGGAGAGAACACTACAAATAATTAGCAAGCCTTTGGCCTGTGAGCAATAGCTGGTTTTCAGGGTGAAACTGGAGAGGGAAAGGAAGAGAACCCAGCTTTCCTGCACCTGGTTATCCTGTTATCCCTTGCCCAAATGATTTTGAAGAATGCAATGGGTGGCCTGAGTGAACCGGTACCATTTTCAACAAAAGAAAAGAGTTACAACAATACTGCAGACTGATAAAGGAATCCAGAAATTAAAACAATTCTTCTTAGCAAAGCTGCTTTTTGTGCATTTCATCTGAAGGTCTAATGATGCCTCCAATAGCTCCAACTGACCACCTGCCTTGCTTGGGAGACTTTCCATGGGGGATCCATTCATTCATTAATCTGTTGCTTTGCGAAGGACACTGAAGATCCTACCTCTCGGAAATTCAATTGTATATGTTTGTGCAAACACAGGGGACTCGTGGCACCTTAAAGACTTAAAAAAATTATTCCAGCATAAGGTTTTGTGGATTAGAGCTCACTTCAACAGATGCACTGAAGTGTATATCCATTAGGTCTACGCTTTTATATTTACAACAGAAAGGTGGTGATGTTGTCTTTCACAGACAGGCTGATTTGCTGGATCTGGGGTGTTCTGAGTAGGTCTTCCATTTGTGGTGCCTCTCCTTCCATTCTCATGGCTCCAAGCCTGCCATGGCCTTCGGGGAATTTCCCCCCATAACTTCAGCTAGGTTATTGAGGCAACACCCCCCCCCCCCCCCCTTTTACTAACAGAGGCTGATCTCAGGGACTTTTGTTAATTCGGCACCACTCTCAGCTGGGTGTGATCAGGTGTGGCTTTCAGGCATCTGTATTCCAAACGAACAGTGGCAGAAGGCCTGGAACATTTGGCTTGGTCCCTTGGCGCTGAGGCCTGGGGATGCAGATCAAGGGCTCTTTAAGCCAGAATTGCTCAGCTCATGATCAATGCTCCCTCTAAGCTGTGGAGTCTGTGAGCAAAAATCCTACTTTGTGAGCTACCGGCATTAAAGTTGTGAGTGAGCGATTTGCCTGTAGCATAAATCAGTCTGCTCTGCAGTCATCCTTCCTGAGCTTGGACAAAAATCGCTGGATACACAGAAATCCAAAATCAAAGAAGACCCCCCCAACCCCACCAATCATGGTTTGGCCCCGCCTCTGCATCAGAGAGGCCCAAAAGCCAACCCCTTTGCCTTTCCCCCCATAGATGACACTGTGGTATTGACGCCTATGTCATGTACATCCACAGGTCTGATTCTCTGGGAACTCAAGTTCTTGGGGTGTGAAACAAGTGAATACGACTATCTCCTTTCCCAGTACTTATCCAACAACTCCCTTTTGGCTGGCACTGATATTTACAGCAAGACAATGGTACAATGTATAATTTAAAGATGAATGAACCAATTTCAGGTGCGAAAAACAGTTTAGAAAAGTTTTTCGCCTATCACCAATGAGGTTGCTCAGAAAACAAAACACAGCCCACCAGGAAAACATAAATCCACATAAATTTGGTTTTAATACATTTTTATATAGAAAAAGGCAACATTGCTACAATTGCTAAAAGCTGTTAACTAGAAAGTTTCTTGTCTTCCAAACTAGTCTTTTGTATTTTGGACTTTAAAAGATAAGCAGCATACATTGGTCCCTTCCTCCTGTAGCTCTACCTTACTGGACACAATTTATGGAACGTTACTTGATTCTAGAGTTATTGTTTCATATTTATGAAGAAACTGAACATGTCATCTATGAGATGGTCTTTCATTCACCAAAGCCGAAGTCATAATAGTTCCAGTCTGCTGATAACAGATCTGGATCCCCAACTGGCTATCTTGAGGCACATTTCAGTTTTCTGGTCCCTGCCAGAAACAAGGAAGGAAGGAGTTTGCCAAAGACCCTGGGTGTGTCCTGGTGGACAAGAGGGCTCCTCTTTAATAACTTCAGGCCTGGTTAACTCACCTTGTGGCCCACCCAGCTGCCACTTACCAACTGTGTGTTAATAGCTCTCCAAGAGCCACCCAGATGACTTTAATGTCAGGATGGAGAGTAGCACTGGGCCTAGAATCTCCACCTTCTGAAGGATGCTTCAATCAGCGGTAGTACGCAGACAGCTGAGGAGCGGCACAGTGCAGGAACCACAGAGCTGCAGAATCTGCGGCTTCCCTAGAGCTGCACTGAAGGTCTGGGAAACAAGAAGGGAGCTGCCTTCATAAATACTGGATCTGCAGGGCAGTCAGGCAATCATCAGAAGACAGTGCTCCTGCTCCAGTCCTGCTTGCCCCACCTCAGTTCTGGCTTTCCCCTGCTGTGGGACAAATGGCAAACCCAACTTGCTCCACCCGATGGCAGGGATGGGTAGATGACAGGAACAGGAGGGGAGAAGTGAGAGCGGCATGCCATTCGGCACCAGTAGAGCTCCAAGAAAGTGGAGGGTTCCCTCTGGCCATAACCTCGAAATCTCGGGGGGCAACATTTGGCCCACGGAGAAAACAAAGTGAACTCTTAAGAAGACCCCCAAGGCTGAAAGAGTGCTGCAGAGATGAGAATCCTGCACCCTCCCGAAAGCTGGTTATGGTTGGTTCATACGAAATCAACGCATGGCAGGAGAGGCATCCTGCTGGCCATTCCCTATCCCAGTGGTTAAGGCAGGGGTCCGAGTGGCCACCATTTTTCTTTGAACCCCAGAAAATAAAGCAGCTGATCATTCTTTGGTCTCAGGATGCAGGAACAAGAAAATAATGTCGTTGTGCTACTACTAAAGGCAGAGGAGCCCTGTGCAAAAAAACCCACCAGAAAATGCCCAGTTAGGGGCCTTGGAGTTAGCACTGGACACAGAAGGGGAAGAAAAAAATTGTGCTTCAGCAGTTTCTTCAGAATGCTTAAGCAGTTACTGAAAGATACAGAACTAATACCATCCTAGGAATTAACATCTTTGCAGACAGAAATGTATTCATAAATACAGTACAGTTACAATTATAAGGCTTACATTCTAGACATAAAAACACAAGTTCCTATACAGGTACAAGGAAGAAATATATAGAGGCACCAAGCAAAGACATTCAATGTGTTTAGAACACTGCAACTTTCCCCTGGCTGATCAGCGACTTCAGCCTCAGGGCCGTTCCTAATGAAATGGAATTGCAGCAAAGACACTGGAGTGTTTAAGAGGGAAATCAGCCAAGAATCCATCCATCTGCTTGTCGGAAAGAACTACAGCGTTTCCCCAAGACCGCCTACAACTTTGCTTTTATTACACGTTCATGTTATGTTAAACCCTTAATCTAAAGTTTGGTTCAAGCATGAAAGTCATCACAATTTTATATTTGTCTCATTTCCAGTATGAAGCAGCTTTATGAAAGGGGAGGAAGTGTGCAGTTTGACAAGTACCTGCATTTCTTTCTAGACAAATAGACTGAAAGTTGTGTGTGACCCTAAGATATGTGGCTATCTTAAGTCCTCCAGATTCACTTGAGAAAAACAGCACTTAGCTAACAGACCCTAACTGACCGGCACAGGCCGGGGCTTTCCCTCAATGCCCACAAGTAGCACAGCAAGTGGGAGACAAGTGCCAAGTGAAACAAAGCTTCTCAAGAACCCCCCCCTGCCCTTCAGCAGAGGGAGAACCCTGGAACCAACTAACCGGAGAGAAGCTGGGGAGCCATTTGAACAGTTAATTTCAACACCGTGAACTGAAGAGAAATCATTTGCCCAATGCTGCAAGATTTATGCAGGCTCCCAGAGACATAAAAATGGAAGTTACTAAGCAGGTGTGATATTTCCACAGTAAACAATAGTTTTCTATTTAATTTGTGCAGAAAAAAAGAGCATTTCAGGAAAATGTAATATTGGCAACATGGAGGGTTCCTTTATTTCTCAAAACACTGACTCCAGTATCACTATTACCTTGAGTAAGGCACTAAATTCTTATCTATTAATATACAAGTATCAGAAGAAAAGCTGCTGTCCTGGAATGAGGTGGTGACAGTCTAACAAGGCATTTTGGAAGTCTGGAAAATACAACATAGAAAAATCTTCACTTTGGTCACGTGAAGACTCAAAGCTCAGCTCCAGAAAAATGCCCAGGCCCCGCTGCGGTTTGATACACAGCGACTAAAAGAATGCAGGATAGATTTCAGTCAAGGCAGCTGAATCACAGGGAACAGAATGACAAGTGGAACAAGTTGACACTGCTTGTGTGGTAAAACCCCGAAGGGGAAAAAAAACCCCTTGGCATGCATGAAAACGGAAACTCTTTTAATCTCAGGGTGTCTAAGAGGAGGACAGAACGCTGAGAGGAAGAAACTACGGAAGCGCAGGCACACTGCAAAAACATAACATTTGCTCCATCCTGGAATGTTTAGTGAAAACAAACACACTCTCCCAAGGAGAGGAGAGTTTCCTTACAACTCTTGGAGGTTCATATAATGTTTCTCAGAAATATCTGAATATTCAGGACACTTAAATGACAACAAAAAATGACAGCACCGTGATATTGTGTGGCCACTGAAAAACCTGGAGATGACAGGCTTTGCAAAGGCATTTAGACTTCAATGCCTAACAGTGATTTTTCTTTTCTTAAAAAATAAACGTTTTTATTAAAAAATACTGACATTAAAAAAATTAGTGCATTTAAGACCTTGATTTTATCCAGATGCTACCAGATCCAGTATTTTGTTTTAAAAGGTGTTTGTAGAAAATCATCTTCTCAAAGAGACCAAGTCTACTTTACTGTTTTGGAACAAATTATAAGTTAACCTGTCCATCCTTTTGAGAATGTATATATACCGCAGCATACAACTGTACATTCCTTTATGAATCAGGTACTACAATTTGCTAATTAAAAAAGAAGAGGTCCAGGAGGGGGATGGTGCTTGCTGTTTTACTCCAGCTTTGCATTACTTCAGATAAGATACTCCACCATTTCTGCATCGTTGAGGTCCTGCCCCAAGCTTTGAATGGGGTTTTTTCTTTCCAGAGTGCTGGAATGGAAAACTGAGCCATCTATAAACGAGAGAAAGACACAAATGAAGGAAGCTGTAAGAGCTTACAAAGAGGGTGAACAAGACACAGTCAGCTTTTATATCCAAGTAGCAAGATGCCTGCCATTATGATGGGAAGAGATGGAGTGGCGGGAAGGCATATGCACTGCAAGGCCCCCACCGGGGGAGGGGGATGCACGAAACCACTCTCAGGACCCCCATTCTTGAGGACCAGGCCATCCAACGTCATAGGCAAAGGCCAGGCCCAGCGTAATGCCTTTACTTTCCCCACAGGAATCAGTGGCAACCATGCAATTACATGGGAGGGAGACACCCCTGATGTGCACTGCACGTGGCTCCCAATAACTGCCACTGGCTCTGCCACCAAGGGCCCAGCCTGCTCCTACGAGCATGACCACTCCTCTACAGAGCTTGGTGGAGGGTTCTGTTCTTTCTCACACTAAAGTATGACAGAAGTGTTTGGGTCTGTCTTAAATCTCAAAAGCAGGCCAATGGCCCTTTGTCCAGGACTAGCCTTGGCCAGAAAGCTATGCAAGTGAGGTTGCTGCTCACCTGCACTGTTCTGGTTTAAAGTTAGCCAATTTTTACACTGATTTCAATGAGATTCTGGGCATACACACTGAAAGTGCAGGAACATTCTACCTCTGTGTGCACTGAAAATATAATGTTAACACACGGGCTATGCAAATACTTGCATGACTAGCTCTGCTTGCACAATCAGTCCGCTGTAGAAACGATCAGTGAAGGCATCACATGGACCTTCACATGCATTAAGTACCAGTTCACAGTAAACAATCTACATGTGTTGTAGAGGATGCTACATGCTTACACTCCACCGCTTGTAGAATGTACATACCAAATATGTGTTCAGGTGGGTAGCCGTATTGGTCTGAAGCAGCAGAACAAAGTTTGAGTCCAGTGGCATCTTTAAGATCAATAAAATGTAACTCTGGGTATAAGGTTTCGGATGCATACACACAAAAGCTTATACCCAGAATTAATCTGTGCTGGTCTTAAAGGTGGCATTGGACTCAAACTTTGTTCTACCAAATATGTGTGTGAATAGACATGACATCATACTTGGGGCAGTTACATGCATACCCCCCAATTCACCTGATCTCCGTGAGCCTGGAAAAGGGTGGTGGGGGTCAGGTCTGTGCACCAGGCGATACGTGACAACAAATGCTAAGCCCAGTTAAGGCTGCTCCTCTGCTGCCCCAACATGTAGAGATGATCTACACATTACTGAGGGAGGATGATCTACACATTACACTTCCATAAACATTTCCTCTGTGAGCCGGAGGCTAAAAAACTGTGAGCTAGCTCACACTAACTCAGCTTAGAGGGAACACTGGTAGAGGCATATTCTGAACTAGGTGGAGCTGTTCATTTCTGGCAGCTGCTAGCAGTGACATACAGATTCTCCACACAACTTAGGCAAGTCTACACAGTAAATATGTCTGTCTGTCACACATGGCCCTGACCTGGGTATCCTCACAAAATTGGCCTTTTGAGTTAGGCTAGCTTAAGAGTGAGCAACTGGCCAGAGGTCTCTCTTTCTTTTCTGCGCCTCCGCCAGGACGGCACGGGAGGATCTCGCTGCTGGCTGACAGTATGGAGAAGCATGGAATGTGGGGCAGTGTGGACTTCTTGGGTTCCCAGATGTTGCACCCTGCCTCTTCCCCTTCGTAAAGGCAATGAGAAGCAGCCAGGTACGTAAACTCCTCTCTCCAAGTTCCGGCAATCCAGCCCACAGCAGAGAATCCCTCACTTCTCAATGTGCGGCTTGTGACAATGTGAATTAAGCCTTATGGTCTTCATTGGCACTTACTTATATATGTAAAAGGCTTTGGATTCAGTGACCAGCCTTAAAGATCCTCCCCCGCTGCTTGGCACAGGTGCACTGAGACACTGGGGCGGACCATTCTACCCTTCCTACCTGCCCTGCCCTCTAAAATAATTAGCTCAGTTTAATTTAATTATCCGACGCCCCCCGAAAAAATACCTGCCTTATGGGGCTGCTCCCAGATTCTACTCTAACACTGTAATCTCTACACCAAGCTGTCCTTGATCAATGAAGCAGAAGCTATTTTAGCAATCTGCCTGTCTGCTCACGCAGTTATGTGTGCAAGTACACATTTAAGCTGCTTTGCACTGTAACAAATAAGGACACAAAGGTTTTACAGGGGGCTGCTTCAAAACAATGCTTACTCCTTTGCCACCTGGGTGCCCGTGGCCTGCTCCACACAAGTGACCCATCCTGTGGGAGAACGGGGACTGATTCAGACTGCAGGCAAGGGATTTTCAGGATTAAAAGCTACCCCACATACACAAAACCAAACCCCTATATTTTGAAACATCGAAAACCAGCCTGTCTTCTGAAACTGGGACTAATTCAGACAGGAGGTAGGGGATATTCAGGATTAAAAGCCACCGACAAAAAAACCTATACTATGAAACATGGAAAACCAGCATTTCTTCTGAAACTCATCTCCCCAACAACTTGTTTTCTAGGTTTACCAATGCAACTTTTTAAACTGGGAGGCAGGGAATAATTTAATGACACAATCCCCACCTGCATTCCATCCAGAAAGTCAACTGCTTTATGATTGTGACGATTCTCTGTGATATTTGCTTCCCACAGCCTCTTTTGAAAGATAAAACGACTCTGCACATTCAACGCTCCAAACCAGAACTGACCCGGAATCAGGACGCAACTTCCACATCCTGCTGTTAGTGGGTGTGTTCAGCACCTTGTTAGGGTTCTTTGTTAACACCAGAGTGGGGCACGCAACGCAAAGCTCGTCCTACTGTTCTATGCCCCCCCAAAGAATGTCCGGCTTCCATTTGTTCCAAAACAGCCAGGACGGTTCAGGCACTAGAGATCCCAAGTTACCTGCTTTCTCTGCAGTGTAGGACAGATTCATAGCAGGGAGCCTCCCCTGCACCGGGGGTGTTGCTGCAGAGACGGGGATCTTGTTCTGCTCGCTGCCACGATCTGTCTGAGTGCTACAGTCTCGGCTGCCGGTTTTTGAATGTGCAGAGAGTAGCGGAGTAGAAGGCAGAACAGGTGAGGGGGTTGACGGGATGGATTCTGAGCGGCATTCTGTTCCCAGCAGAACACCTGAAGGAAGAGCAAAGAGGGCGAGGTTGCGAGGCAGTTACCCAACACCTGCAAACACCCACCTTGGTTCTGGCAGCTCCCCTCCGGTGACGGGAGCCCCTCACGCCTCTATCGCCAACGCCTGCGAATCCATCTGAAGAGCTGTTCTGTAAGCAACATCTGTGGCCAGGAGTGCCCTGTGTGCCCTAACCGGGAGGGCCCCGGCTAGCCCCGTGTCTCATCAGGCCTGAGGAGCTCAGCAGGGTCAGGCCTGGTTCGTATCTGGATGGGAGACCACCGAGGAAGGCCACGGTGGCTACGCAGAGGCAACCACTGGCAAACCACCTCTGAAGGTCTCTGGCCTTGAAAACCCCATGAGGGGTCACTGTAAGTTGGCTGAGACTTGAAGGCACTTTTCACCACACTGACTTGTGTACTATGCAAAGTGGCCAACCATGGCAATAGCTCACACACATATCACAACTTTTCTTGAAAACCACACTTCTTGTCCGTGGTCCATAAATTTTGGCTGGTCTCCATAACCAAGCTGACATTATTGGCAGCCCCAAGAGATGCATCTTTTACTATACTACATAAACATCAAACTGCAAGCAGAGGCTGAATACTTAAAAAACTTTTTCTCATGAAGACCATGTGCTCAGATCCTCCAGCATACATGAAAACAGCAGGCCATGGAGAAGGTGCCCTGGACTAGCCTTTCTCCTGGTCACACTAGGTTTATATGTGCAAGCAGGTTATTTTTAAAAATGGGAAAATGCATATTTTTAAACTTGTCAAGGGCCCTTCCCTCTGTAATGGAGAGCATCTTTGTCAGGAGACTCCATTCTTTTTTCTCCCACCACCCCTCCTCCATTTAGTGCCCCCCCAAAAAAAACAGTCTAGTAGCTACAGGGCTGCTTAACCTCATGGCTAAATAATTTGCACAGAAATCTAACTGCCTTCCTTTCAGTAACATCAAACAACCCCCCAAATTATTAACTGAATGGACAACATGCTCGACCCTCATTTTGCCAAGTGCAGTGTGATGTGATTTGCCCTCTGCCAATCGAAAACCCAGGTTGTGCCATTTGTACCCCTGATGCAGATGAACACCAGGGTCCCTCTTATTCTGCAGGATCTAGCCTGCTTGTGGTAATCATGTGGTAGTGCCATAAAGTCACATCTGACCTCTGGTGACCCCTAGTGGGGTTTTCAGGGCAAGATATGTTCAGAGGTGGTTTGCCATGGCCTGCCCCCTGCATCATGGCCCTGGACTTCCAAAGACTAGCCAGGGCCGACCTGACGACCTGTGAAAGGCAAAGAGCCCTACTTGGCAGCAAAGCTCCACCCTTAGATCATCCGTGTCCTGCCCAGCAGCTCTTCCTGCCTGGTGGAATCCCAGCATCGCCTACATCATGGATGCCTTCACTCAGAAAGTTCCTATGAAACAAGCTAATAAATAAAAAGCAGAGACTTCTCTTCTCTTCCACCAAATCACAGTCTCACAAACACACACAACCCTATTGGTTATCTCTATATATCAAGACAACAATGTATGAGGCGATCTATAATAAATATAATATAATATAATATAATATAATATAACCCTGTTAATTACCAGAGTGTCTCTGAGCATCTAGAGCAGGGGTGGCCAAACATGCTTAACGTGAGAGCCACACAGAATAAACATCCGATGTTTGAGAGCCGCATGAAATGAAGAAATATTACAGACATGTTTTTATTGGAAAAAATGCAGATTTGCTTTCTATTAACATTAAATGAGGCTGCCCAAAATAAAAACAAAAGGGGTAAAAATAGATATTGACAATGATATTTCTTTGTCCGATGATATTTGTAGGCTTGAGGGGGGGCTTTGAGAATGCATTTAAAGTTGGAGTTGCTTTCTTTCTCTGCTCCCCCCCCCACACCCCTCAAGCCTACCCAGGGAGGGGAACACTGGCTGGAGAAGGTGAATCCTATGAGGAAAGGTTGAAGGAGCTGGGTCTGTTTAGCCTAAATAGGAGACAACTGAGAGGCGATACAATAACCAAGTACTTGAAGGGCTGTCATCTAGAGGATGGTGTGGAGTTGTTTTCTGTTGCCCCAGAAGGTTGGACCAGAACCAACGGGTTGAAATTAAATCAGAAGAGTTTTCGGCTAAACATTAGGAAGAACCTCCTGACAGTTAGAGTGGTTCCTCAGTGGAACAGGCCAGTTTGGTGTAGTGGTTAAGTGCGCGGACTCTAATCTGGGAGAACTGGGTTTGATTCCCCACTCCTCCACTTGCACCTGGCTGGATGGCCTTGGGCAAGTCGTAGTTCTGATAAGAGCTGTTCTTGAAAAGGAGCAGTTCCTGCCAGAGCTCTCTCAGCCCCACCTACCTCACAGGGTGTCTGTTGTGGGGAGGGGAAGGGAAAGGAGTTTGTAAGCCGCTCTGAGACACCTTTGGGTAGTGAAGGGCGGGGTATAAATCCAATCTCTTCTTCTTCTCCTTCTTTGGAGGTTTTTAAACAGGCTACATGGCCATTTGACAGCAATGCTGATTCTGTGAACTTAGGCAGATCATGAGAGGGATGGGAGGAAGGGTTGTATCAGTGCTTAGTTCTCATGGCCCAGGGAAATGCAGATTGCCACTTTGGGGTCAGGAAGATATTTTCTCCAGGCCACTTTGGCCAGGGATCCTGGAGGGTTGTTTTGTTTTTTGCCCTCTTTTGAGCACAGAGCAGGGGTCACTGGGGGGGGGGGGGTTGATTGTGAACATCTTGCATTGTGCAGAGGGTTGGACTAGATGACCCTGGAGATCCCTTCCAACTCTATGATTCTATCTGGTACATTTTGATCCTGCCCTTCCTCAAAAGAGATCAGGGTAGCGATGTACTGGGGGGTCTTTCCCTCCTCCATTTTATACACACAACCACCCATGAGATGGATGAGACTGAACGAGAGTGGCTGGCACTGAGTAAGTGGCGTTCTGAACCTGGGTGCCCCAGACCCGGCTTCGGCGCTCTTAACTGCTGCACTGCACTGGTGGCTACATAATGTGTTGGTCATCAGTGAAGGGGAACTGCTCAGTCACACTGCCTTGTTTTCATCTATCTGATGGTTGCCATGCAGTCACTTGTGCAGGTCAAGTCCATTGGCCCTTGTAAGGTTTTGGTATTTTTTCATGAGGTGTGATTGGGCCCTTATATGTTTTTTAATTCTTTGCTAATAAATACATGCATCTTTTTATATTATATACATTAAGTTTTCTTGCTGGCCTTCTATTCTGTTTGACTTACTCTTTAGGTTCTTGATCCCAGGTTTCAGGGTTCAGTTCCCCCCCTCCCCTTTTTTGCCATTTGTGCAGGGCCATAACCAACTTGGGATCTGAACTCTGCTCCAAACTCACCACTTGATCAGAAGCAAATTACCTAAGCTGCCTTTCCAGCTCTTGTCCTCCCTCTTTTCTTCCAGAATGGGGGTGCTGCTCAGGGTGGAGGAGTGGGAAAGCAGGCCGGACCCAGTGTTGGAGATCGACATGAGGGACTTGGCTGGTCTCATGGAAGACAGCTGATCGGTCTTGCTGGCCTCCTTCCGGGACCGCTGCTGGAGGACTTTGATCATGGCGTCCTTCTCAATGATCTGAGCATGGAGAGTCTTGATCCTAAGGAGGGACAAGAAATAGTCCTCTGTGTCACTGCTACCACCTTCTTACCAGACAGTCAGGGAATGGGGCCAGCGGAGGTCATCGGCCTGACTAAAAGATGCTTCCTGGCCCAGCATCTGTGAAAGGCTGCTCAGAACCACCTTCTCAAGAAGAGGAGCGCCTCAGCTCATCTCTTTAGGCAATGAAAGCCGCAGCTTCAGAGCAATGTTTTTCTGAAACCCAGTAGGTCTCCCCATTAGAGGGGAAAAGACAAATGGAAGGACAAATGTACAGTCCTCAGCAATATTGGTCCAAATCATCATCTCAATTTAGTATGGGGAGGCACGTGACAGTTATAGGACAATAGCAATAAACAAATTTGGAGAGAAGGGCAAAATGAGAACAAAACAAGGACTTTTCTCCAAAAGACAAAAAAGATCTGGGTCATAAACAAAATTATGAGAAAGGAAAATCCCAGGCCCCTCTGCTTGCCACATCACGGAGGCTCTTTCCATGCAATAACCCATCCCGTGCTGATATTTTGGGGGAAAGGGGAGATAGGTACATCCTCATGTGTGGAAAAAGTTGAAGCCACTGAATTTGCTGATCATTGATCGTAATAAATCAAATTGATTGATTGAATTTCTGCATGACTCATGACTTTTAAAGGTTTGGGAACTCTGATGAGAGTCAAGTTGGCAACCCCAATCTAAACAGTCAACAGAGCGACTAAGCATCTGTGCACACAAAGCCAAACTAAGGTGCGGAATTCCCACAGCCAAGAGCTGTGCAGCCTCAAGGGGTAGAGTGAAGTGGGGTGATCTCCATGGATGGCTCTGCATGTTTGTACGTTGTCCTAAGTACAAGAATGCATTTTTTAACTGAGTCGTAGAAAATCTGGTGGAACACACAAGCCAGGCAGAAACCAGATTGTATCCCATTAGCTGTGGAAGGCTCAAGAAAGGAACTGTCAGGTTCAGCTGCAAGTAAATCTCCACACACGTTTCCAAGGAAGCATTATGCTTTATTAGATTACAAAACTGGTACCATATCCACAGGATTATTGTTAGGAATCACCAAGGGGCGGAAACATCCCAACATACAGCAGGATGAGGCAAATGGCTAAGCAAATGAAACTCGAACGCGCGCATGGGAATTCTCCCGGCGGGAGGATTTGTAATAAGCGGGAGAGTCTCAGTGCCTCAAGAGAGCCGAAAGATTCACACCAGCGGTGGAACTGCAAGCCCTCCCCCCTTCACAAGGCCAGACAGATAATGCCATCTAGCAGGACTGGTTCTCACGGCCTCCCTATCGCTGTTTACGGCAAGCGGCAGAGCAGCGAGCAAGCCAGGATCAGAGAAGGGAACAAGCAAAACATGGCAGCTAGCTGACAGGAACCTTGTGTGAGATCTTGGGTCCTTTTCTACATAGCAATTTTTCAAATTGTGGGACAAGGAACTGGGAGTCCTCTCCTTTGATACAACACAACTTACACAAGTAGACAACTCTTACTACAAGAATGGACTGGTGTTAATAGCGGATGGAAAAACTGTTGGGAGGTAAAAAAAAATAATCCGCCATTGGGAATGCCCCTGTGGGACGCCATGAGTGAGAGGACGCCTTTCTGGCTGACTCTCATCATTCCCTTGCTTTTGTGGGCCTTTGATTGGGGCCCGACTGAGGGAGTGCCTGGAGGGCCAATGAGGAGATGGTGTGTGTGGGGGGTCCCAATTAGCGTGGTGATGGGTAGAGGGAGATACAGCACTGGGACGAGGAGTGGCCAGGTAAGGGGAACTTGGCCAAACAGCTAACAGCTGTACCATTTTCCGGTCCGCCCCCCACCCGTGGGTTTAACGGCTGCTATGTCAGCCAGCCCTCGAGTCTCTGGATGCTGCTCTTAAGTGCCAGACTGGTGCAACAGAAAACCTTTCCCACCCACAATTTAATCAGGGAGGAGGTTGCTGATTTGGCATGTATAACTGAGACCTGGGTGGGTGAGCAGGAGGAGTTAGTCTCTCCCAGTTGAGCCCACCTGGGTACTTGGTTCAGCATCAGGGTAGACGTGAGGGCTGAGGGAGGGGGTTGCTGTGGTCTACAGGAATTCCATCTCTCTCTCCAGGCACCCTCTCCATCCAACAACCAGTCTGGAGCGTTTATTTATTTATTCAATTCATACCCCGCCCTCCCCACCAAAGCATTTGCCAGGACTTGGACTCCAGAGTTACAGTAGTTGAATCAGTGGAGCTGTCCAGAGCACGGTCTAGTCCAGTTTTATTGGATGAGTTTCAGTCGGTACAGCTCAAGGTTGTGGACAAGGTGCTTGGACAGGTTCGTAAAACCATGTCTGTCCTAGATCCTTGTCCCTCCTGGCTTATAAAAGCCAACAAGGGAGAGATAGCCAGCTGGGCTGGGCAGGTCATCAGTCCTTCTTTACTAGAGGGAGTGATCCCATCCTGTCTCAAAGAGGCAGTGGTGAGACCACTTCTGAAGAAAACCTCCCTTGATCCGGAAAATCTGAACAACTAGAGGAGAGCAGCAAATATTCCTTTCTTGGGTAAGGTTCTGGAGAGGGTGGTTGCCAACCAACTCCAGGCAATCTTGGATGGAATTGATTACCTGGATCCATTTCAGTCGGGGTTCAGGCCTGGTTTTGGCATGGAAACAGCCTTGGTCCCCCTGTATGATGACCTACACCGGGAGTGAGACGGGGGAATGTGACCCAGCAGCTGTATCTTTCGGAGCTTTCAAAGCCATCGACCTTGGTATCTTTCTGGAGTGACTGGTGGGGATGGAAATAGGGGACACTGCATTGCACTGGTGCCACTCCTACTTAGAGGTCTGTTTCCAGAAGGTGGTGTTTGGAGAATATTGTTCAGCCAGTTTGGTGTAGTGGTTAAGAGAGGCAGACTCTAATCTGGAGAACTGGGTTCAATTCCCCACTCCTCCACTTGAAGCCAGCTGAGTGACCTTGGGTCAGTCACAGTCCTCTCAGTCTCAAAAATAAATCTAGCTTGCCACAAAAAGAGCTAGTTTCAGGCTGCCAGACAATCTCTGGATCTCCTGGCTGGACATCCACTGCCATACGATAATTAATTGTTCAGCCCCATGGGTTCTCCAGCATGGAGTTCCTCAGGGGTCTGTTGTGGCCCACATGCTATTGAACATCTACATGAAACATCAGAGTGGGGTCATCTGGAGTTTTGGAGTGCATTGCCATCAGTACACTGATGACACACACCTCTATTTCACCTTTTCATCATCGGCAGGTGAAGCTGTGGATGTGCTAAACCAGTGTCTGGCTACAATAATGGACTGGATGAAAGCTAACAAACTGAGACTCAGTGCGATGATGTTGGTGGGTGATTCCTTTGACCAGGTGGGGGGTGTTCAACCTGTTCTAGACGGGGTTGCACTTCCCTTTGAAGGAGCAGGTTCGCACCTTGGGGGCTGCTCCTTGATCCATCTTTGTCATGTGAGACTCAGGTGGCATCGGTGGCTCGAAGTGCTTTCTACTGGCCCAGTTGTGCCCTTATCTGGACAGGGATGGCCTGGCTTCAGTCTTATGCTCTGGTAATCTCCAGACTAGATTACTGCAACACACTCTAAGTGTGGCTACCCTTGAAGACTGCCTGCATTGGCTGCCTGTATGTTTTCCATCCCAATCCCAGGTATTGACCCTAATCTATGAAGCCCTTACTGGCTTGGGACCAATGCTCCCTCTAAGCTGTGGAATCTTGTGAGCAAAGATTCTACTTTGTGAGCTACTAGCATTAAAGTTTCGAGCGAGCGATTTTGCTACTGCATAAATTAGTTTGCTCTGGAGTCATCCTTCCTGAGCTAAGACAAAAATGTGTGAGCCAGAGGCTAAAAAACTGTGAGCTAGCTCACACTAACTCAGCTTAGAGGGAACACTGCTTGGGACCACAATACCTGTCAGAGCACCTCTTCTAACGTCAATCTACCCGGACACTATGCTCAACCTCTGGGGTCTTCCTCTGGGTGCCAAACTAGGGAAAGGGCCTTTTCAGTGATGCCCCCTCGGTCTTTGGAATAACCTCCCTGCTGCGGCCCGCCTGGTGCCAAATTTGCCATGTTTTCGGTGCCAGGTTAAGACAGCCCTCTTTGCAGAGTCCTTTAAGGAGCTCCCTGGTTATGTAGGAGGTCCAATACAATCAGCCAGGTGTCTTTCTTTCACTTTAGGTCAGATCTTTTGGGGGTCAGGTCTACTGTTTTTTAAAATGTTTTTATGTTCTCTTAAATTAATTCTCAATGTTTAATGTTTTATCTATTGTATCCTATTGTTTTGTATCTGTTGTAAACCATCAAGAAAGCTTCGGCTATGGGTGGTAAAGAAATGAAATAATAGTAACTTTTAGGGAACCATATTGTTCCACAACAAAACTGCAGCTCAGCAGTGTTTCAGCATGGCGGCACTGCATGTAAACCTCTGCCAAGAAAGCAAACAGCACCTAGGACAAAGCCCTGCGTTTGGCAATGGCACTTCTGTACTTGACCACAAGCTGAGACAATGAAGCTGCTCCACCTGCTTTTTACCTGCCTTCCATGTCAAGGCACCTCCTGTTTGCCATCAGAATCTCCTCTTCTTCCTTCTGAATACGAGCTTCCAGGGAAGTGTCGTAACTGGCATTAGGGGAGTGGCTGATGACTGTGGTATCCCTGAGAACAGGCAAATCAGTGGTGGATGGAAAGTTAGTAGTTAGTTATCTCACCCTCCCACCAGCACTGCATTCAACACCTTCCAGGACAGTGAATGAGAAGTTTAACCACCTCCAACTCCAAGCAAGCTATGCTAACGTCAGAATCACACAATGCAGGACCAGACCTCCTTGAACTGGAAGGGAGTAGAAGAATGAATGGGAAAAATCAGCTATTTTGTATATAAAAAAGACTCTGCAGACAGAAAAAAAGCATGCAAGGCAAAAGTAATCAAAGCCTAGCTTTCTCTAAAACATGCTTATTTTCTTTGTTCAGAGTTTCTGTTAAAAAACAAAGATTTCCCCTCCACACACAATTACTAGCATATTTTTATTTCAAGGCTGGTAACCCCAGTTCTGGTGAGCACGCAATCACCAAATGTTTCTTTTTTAAAAATGACAACATTAAATGGCACAAATATTAGCGTGATGAAGGCCAAAGACCAAGCCAAAGATCCAGACTCCCAGGAGAGAAAGCAGAATCTACACAGCCTTGCCTATCTCCCCCTTGGGTATACTGCCACGTTCTTTTGCCTGCAGTTGAAGTTGATGCTATTCAAACTTTTTTTTGTGCGGCAAACATGACGGAGCAACATGAAGCTGTCTTATACTGAATTGGGCCACCGGTCCATCAAGATCAATATTGTCTATTCAGATTGGGAGCAGCTCCCCAAGGCCTCGGACAAAGATCTTTCCCATGACATGCTACCTGGTCCTTTCAACTGGAGATGCCGGGAATTGAACATGGAGCCTTCTGCATCCAAAGCAGAGGCTCTTCCACTGAGCCATGGCCTTTCTCCTAACACGTATTTATGTATTTTAAAATGTGTATCTTGCATTCACATCATAATAGTTACTGAGATGGCTTCTAATTTCTAAATCAGAACATTAACAGTCATTAATTCAAAAACGATGAGTAATAAACATGTAATTAAAACAAAGCAGTTAAGCAAAGCTGCAGTGTTAATTGGGTGTGTGTGCGGCAAAATGTTACAGTTCTTTGGCCAGTTTTTACAGAACATTTTGCCTGGCATGACTTTGATTTTTCCCCCATCTCCTTTACTAGGCAAATGTAGTGAAGCCTAGATTTCTCTAAATCATGTCCATTTTCTTTGTTCAGGGTTTCTGTTGAAAAACCTTTTTAACAAGTGACTGTATTGTTCAGTAAAGAACACCAAGGGTGGCAGCCCCACAATTATGGAACCCTTTCCTTTGAATCTTTAGAAAGCAGTCAAAGATGGTTTTATTTAGGACCACATTTGGTTATATTTACTAGCAGTCCTGAATTGCAATTTGAATTTTGGTTTTTATGTTTTTTCTATGCATTTTATCTATTTTATCTCTTTGCAAGCTGCCCAGAAAAAGGTGGCTAATAAAAGTTTTAGATAAACAAATAAATCATAAAATAGATTCATATTTCTCCCTGTCACCGCTACCTAGCTCAGCCCATACCCTTTTCTAAAATGGGGGGGGGGGGGGGTTATGCTAATCAACTCCTGCACCTCT